AACTCAGAAGGAGGCTCAGTGGCTAGCGGAGAGGAAGGCGTGATGTCTCAAAAGACATCATCGCTATCATCCTCCGAAGTACTCGGAGTAGAAAATAGAGGTAAAGTCTGAGAAGATGAAGTCGCATGACTTTTCACAGCATAAGGGAACTCTGTTTCGTAGAAAACAACATTTGGTGATGTAGACATAATGCCAGTCTCCAAATCATACACTTTCCAATCTTTCTTGCCGAAAGGATAGCCGTTGAATATCGAATAATTTCCACGAAGCTCAAACTTGTCACAACCATGTTGCTGATTATGCACATAACAGAGGCACCCAAAAACCCGCAAATTCATTGGAGGCACACGATTATACAGAACCTCAAAAGGTAACTGATGTGGTGTGTGTCGTGGGTTGTCAAGTTTTACCCTAAATGAAATCAATAGCCGCAAGTGCACAGCTGATCGATTGTAGTACTTATGGATCGAATCCACAGGGAAGGAGGATCTTTCCTGCAAAAGCCTTCGAAAGAAATATAAAGTAAGGAAGTCTAGAACCAAACGGTTTTGTGGGGGTTTTAGTGGTGTGTTTAAAATGTAAAAATGAATCTTAAAGAGAAAATACGGGAATTCAAAATGACCTAATAACTAAACTTAATGAAAACGGGTAAAAACGAGAAAAACGGCTAAACCTAATTGCTTTAATGAAAATCGATTGAAAGGGAATGAAAATATTGAACTAATGCTTGAAATAAAACGGTGTAAATCTATAAGAAAAGAGGCGCTGGGGTTCAGGGAAGTTTTCTCAGGGGTACGAACAATTTAAAACATTGCTAGAGAGTAAATTTGATAAGATCTTAGCTTAAACTTTTCGAACTGGAGTCACGGACGTATGAATACGCCACTGTCGTGATCATAGACAACTATCTCTCTCAACCTTGACCAGTAGGTTTTCACTCTGGCCCTGGAAAAGAAGAGATGCATTATGTTTAAGACTCGTCAGCATTCACAAATCGCCCATAGGTAGGTTTCCACTCCTCTGTTTGTTTTGCTCTCCCAAACTAGATCTGACACCGGATGAACACTTTCGTGTCACCAAGCATCTGGATCAGATTGTAGTTCATGACGCTACTCTCATGCAGTAAAAACGAATTCAGAAGAAAAAGTTCTAAGATTCGGCTCAAAAGCTTATGGAATCCTCACCGAACATATAAATCCCCATCGAAAATCCCTTAGTCCCAACAATAAAACTACTCAGACATGATGAACGAAATCAAAAACATAGTATTAAAAAGTAGAATAGAAACCGAAATTGAAAAAGAAAGAACAAGGGTTCAAGAGACAAATCTCTCTCTCCCTAAAACCTAAAACTTAAAAAAGGATTCTAAAACAATAAGAACATATGAGGGCTTATGAGGTGATGATACGAATTAGGGTTCCTAAGACATGTATTTATAGTGCTCAAGACATCTCTAGGGTCTAGGGTTCCAGAATTAAGGCTGGAAAAATGATATGGGCTTTGGAAATGGGCCGTCGGGGTCGGAGTTAGCTGGCCGCGGTCGGGATGAGTGTGACTGCGGGAAATGGGTGGCTGGCCGCGGTCGCGGTGCTTCTGACTGCGGGAAATGCTCTGTTGGTCGCGGGTAGAAACGCTTGCCGGCTGGTTTACAAGACATCTTGCTCTTCGCGTATCTTTTGATTGAATCGTTGGATTGCCAAGCTGTAAAGTGTGATGGAAAGCTGATACTTCCATCTTTAAGATCTCCAAATTTGAGCTGGATCAGACGGTGAGAAAGCCTTCAATCGGGGGTGAACTTCTGACGGTATGACTCTGAGCTGAAATCTGGTTTTCTATCCATTTTGTTAAGCTTTTCCCTAAGTTACCTGAAAAGAGTCTTGGAACTACAAATACTAGAAAAACGTAATAAAAGTACTTGAAAGCAATTAAAAACATAGAAAAATTATTTCAAAACGATCCATAAAAGTGGTCAAAATACGGTGTTATCAGTAACTTCCCACGAAGCACAGTAGTAGGTGTGCGGTTGATTAAATAACCAGCTGGTAGAACGCCGAAACTCCAAAACTCAACCGGAAGAGCAGCCTGGAAACGAAGAGCATGCGCCACATTTAGGATATGACGATGTTTACGCTCAACCCTTCCGTTTTTTTGGGGAGTGCAAACACAAGAGATTTCGTGCACAATACCAAGTTCACGAAAATGAGTCGAGAAATTTAAAAATTCAGACCTGTTATCGCTGAGAACAGTCTTTACTTTGCTTTCAAATTGACGTTCGACTAAGTTGATAAAATTTCGAAGTGCAAAAGCAATCTAAGACTTGTTTGGTAATAAATAAAGCCACAAAGCTCGTGAGAAGTCGTCTAAGATCATGAGAAAATATCGAGAACCATAAATAGATTCGGTCCGATACGGACCCCATAAATCGCAATGAATAAGGTCAAAAACAGCAGATGTTTTATTATTACTCAAAAGAAAAACTTCTCGAGTTTTCTTGGCACAAATACAGACGCCGCAAGACTTAAAATCAAAAGCGCTACTACTACTACTACTACTACTATAAGAAAACTTCAGCATCTCCATCGCCTTAGAGGAAGGATGTCTGAGGCGTCTATGCCACTTTTCTGCTGGTTGTGTCTCCAGAGCTTGTGTCATCGCTGCAACACCAACTCCTCCAAAGCAATAAAGGCCATTCTGCTGCTCACCCGCTCCAATCAGCGTCTGTGTGATGCGGTCCTCGATAACACAAAGTCTGTCAGAAATCTAAAAGATACAGTTACGATCTCTTGTCAACTAAAAAACAGAAATAAAGTGACACTCTAATCCATTAACAAATCAGACGTTGAGCAGCTGTAGCGAAGAACCAAGAAAATTTTTTCTCTGTTTCGTCGATACTGTAAAATGACCATCCAGTAACATGATATGCATAGATGCCATATCGCGGACATCCACGATAAAATCCAAGCTACCAATCATATCCTTAGACGCACCAGTATCAATGTTCCAAGATTCAAAAAAATATACCCGAAAGCCGATCATGAGAACTCGAGCTGCGAGCATTGAGCATAGAAACCAAAGTCTTCCATTGTTGATCATTGAGACCCGAAAAACCTATACGACTGATGTCACCAATAACGGCATTGGCAGAAGCAATATGTCCCAACGAGGTCACCTGATTTGCATGAGCTGTTTCTGTTTGTTGCTATGTGGACGGACCAGAAACAGTCCGAGTATCTGCAGCAGGAGAACTCAAGACCTGCGATGAAGACAGAAGCTTGCCTTGCGACTGATCTTTCCACCAAGTTGGATATCCAATCTTTCAAAAACTGTTTTCAGTGAGGTGACTCGTACAGACACAGAGAGTACAAAGAGCGTTGGGGTCGCAAAGTTAAGTTTTCTGTCGAGGTCGAGAGGTAGTTTGAACAGCAAAACTAACTCCATCGTGTTGTTCCTCAATCATAGGACCAGTGCGTTTGGAGTCTTCATCTTTTGTCATGACTTGATAAGCTTCATCCAAAGAAGGCAATGGATCACGAGATAAAAGTGAAGACTTCACAGCTCCAAACACAGACTCATCAAGACCCATCAAAAACTGATGGAGCTTATCCTCTTCGCATTCCCTAGCTATCTCATCAGCGGTTTTGGCATGCTGAAAATCCGCTAAGCTAGTCCACAATTTCTGAAGCTTACAGTAATATGCTTCCACGGCCAAGCCTTTCTGATGGTAAGTAGCGAGTTCCGCCTTTAGATGTTGAACTCGTTGGCCATTTTTCACAGAGAACTGTTTTTGTATGTGTGTCCATAAATCAGACGTGATTTCGTGGTGAGAGAGAGAACTGCTAAGTTTGGGAGCAATAGTAAGATTGATTCAGGATACGACCATAGCATTTTTGGCCCACCAGTCTTCGAGATCTTCTGAATCCTTAGCAGGTTGTGGGATACTACCATTAACAAAACCAAATTTCTTCCGTGCACTTAACGCAAGTCGAGGATGCAAATTCCATTCATGGTAATTGGAGCCGCGAAGTTGTGGCTGTGAAATGACAGCTTCAGGTTTCTCCTGCAGAGAGATCATAGGGATCGATCCGGCAACATGTTGTCTCAGATCGAGGTGTAGACACCGAAGTGGAGGTGCCCTTTCTGATTTGGCTACTTTTGTCGGATGCCATCTTTGATTAGAGTAGTGTTTCGTTGGAACAATAAAAAAAAAATAAAAGTCAAAAGAAGAAGAAATCAAGGAAAATCGACAGCAGCGTTCGATAAAAAGGGTAGAGAATCGAGAACCAAGAATAGGTTATTACTCTGCTACCATGTCAAAAAACCTAGTTTAGAGTAAATGTTTTTTTATTGAATCCGATGTTAAGGCAAAACCTTATATACATAATGATTAATCTAGCTACAAATATGTATATTATAAACTATACACTCTTAGATAGTGAATTGCATATTTAGTCCATATATATTCCAATAAATTGGAAGCTTATTATCCAATATATATGGAAGAAAAATCCGATCACATGATTGGAAAGAGAGAAGAAGCATCCTCTTTCTCTGAAAGATATGAAGCAGTGAAGAGAAAAAGAAACAAAAAACTCTTTACGGGAATCGCCTCTTCAATTGCCTGGAGGAGAGAGAAAAGAGCGACCCGTTGTATATATTGAGTCGATTAAAACACAAAACAAAGGCTTAAAACTGGTAAAAAATCCAGTTTATCAGTTTTTGAAAGATGATATCTCTAGCTAATTAATTAGGATTTCTTCAAATCAGCAAGAACAGTAGAAAGTAAACAAAAAAGTAGTCTAGACTCAACAATATTCCAGAAGAGTCCAATCTTGTATCCTTCCTTCAATCTTCTCCTCCGGACAAACTCTCCAGCCCAAGCACCTTGGAAAACATAGCTTCTTGTTGTCTTGATTCTCTTCAGAAATATGGTGTGCTCAGTCTTGGTGTCGTGGTCGTACGCTCTAACCTCAACTTCATCGCCATCTTGGATTGTCTTTTGATTATCTGGAATCTGGAGATAGATTTGGCAAGATGTGTTTCTCCGCTGCGCTTGTCGCTACAAGAAGTCGGCTTGAACCGTTGATGTCGCTTTGAGTCAGCGTCTTCGTGATGGTCCATGTGTCGAGAGGTAGTTCGTTCATCGAGACTCCGGTTCGCTTCTCTTCTTCTTTTGAATCCTCTTTCGAGAAATCAAGTCTCATCTTCTTAATCTTGCTTGCCTCTTCCGTTACTTCTTTGGGATCAGCACACGTAACCTCAGGGTTAGAATCAGCGTTTAAACAAGGAGCCAAGAAGCCGTCCTCATTCAAGTTTTCTGAGGAGCAACAACTTTTCGAGGCTTCATATGTCGTTTCCTTGTATGCCAAGGATGAGGAGTCTTGAAACGGGATTCTTGCTCCGAACAGGTAAAAAGCTCTTTGTTCTGTCTTCTTAGTCGGAGATGTAGAGACCTCATCGTTAGAAGATATCCCCGTTGTTACCTGAGGGATCTCTCGCAGTTCTTCTGCCATAACTTGCTCAATTAGGGTTTCTTAGGAAAGTAGGAGAGATAGTTACAGCTCGAAGAAGTTTTAGAGAGATACCTCAAAGATTACTGAGAACGTGTATTACAGAGACTCATTTATATAGACAAAAGATAATGTTTTTTTTTTCGTACCTAATTTGGATCAGACTAGGATTCAGTTTTCTTCTTCTGCTAGGAAAGGGAGATTTATTTTGTTGATAAGAAAGGGAGAATATAATCATGATACGGACCGTTATTAAAAGTGATTTGGGAATCCCTTAATCTTTTATACACTTGCGTGAAATATAATCAACATTTTTTTTAAAACGCTCTAGGTTTTAATCTCTTACTATAATTTACTAATTTTTATTTTTCAACAAAATGTAATTAATCTTATACATTATGTGGACTTTGGGCCGGGGAACAAAGCATTTTTTAGTATACACGAAAACAAGATAAAATGATTTTTTGTTTCCTGATTTTTGAACATATAAGCATCATGTCTTTATTCTTAATTTTAATTTGGAATGTCATTTTAGTTGCAATGTTATTTCATTTCAACTGCTATTGATACAAAAAAACGTGTTATTGATGCATTTGTCCAGAACTCATTTTAACTTATTTATTTTTCAAAGAAAAAATATTTTAAGTTACTTATTTAACGTCATTTATTTTGGTGGTCAATCTAATATATAATAGTTGGAGGGGACTCTCCAACTATTATGTAAAATTAAAAACATTAAAACATAAACTTAGAGTAAACAAATTTCAAATTTATTAAAATATAGTGATTGTCTTCTTATTTTATTTTTCTTATGATTATATCATCATATTTGAATTAATAAAGATAATTCAATCAATTAAAAATATGAAAAAAGTTTTGAGATCAAAAATAAAAATAATAGTTAAAAGATCTTCAATCAAAAGAACAAAAAATATAACCTATAAAATCACAACACACAAAAGAATAAAAATTGATAAGATAAGAGAATATCAAAATAAGAGAGAATTATGATAGAAAAAATAGAAAAAAATATGGTAACAAATAAATATAAATTTTTTTTATTATACTGGTTGGAAAGAGAGATTCAATGAAATATGTGTAATAATAAAATATAAAAATGATAAATTAAAAAGATTAAAATTATCATTATATGAATATTTAAATAAAAAAAATTGAAAAAGGAATGGATAAATTTTTTTACTAAGATCATAAAAAATGCAAAATGGTAAAAATCAAGTTATGAGACTAATCTGAAAACAATATATTTAAAAAAAAACAAACAACTGAAGAATAACAAATAAGAATGAAAAAGAAATTTTATTTAACAACATAAAAAATAGAAAACATATGGTGATAAATAAAAATATAAAACTTAAATTATATTGGTTGGAAAGAGAGATTCAATGAAATAAGTGTAATAACAAAATATGAAAATGAAAATTGAGAAAGATTAAAATTATCGTTATATTAAGATTTGAATGAAAAAATTTGAAAAACGAATGGATAAAATTAAGATCATAAAAAAATGCAAAATAGTAAAGTCAAAATACAAAATCATATATATTATAAGCGAAGTAAAATTTTGAGTTAAAGCTCTCTCATTCAATTTCAGAGTGGCTAATTACCTTTTACCCCTTCTTATATTTTTTAAAAATAAAATTTAATAAAAAATTATTAAAAATTGAAAATTAATAAAAAATTATTACAAAAATTATTAAAAATCGGAATTTAATAAAAAATATTTAAATTAAATAAAATTATTAAAAATCATAAATTAATAAAAAATTATTATAAATCAGAATTTAATCAAAAAAACATTTAAATTTTTAAAATTTATTCATATATCATATATATTATAAGTGAAGTAAAATTTTGAGTTAAAGCTCTCTCATTAATTTCAAAGTGGCTAAATACCTTTTACCCTCCTTATATTTTTTTTAAATAAAATTTAATAAAAAATTATTAAAAATCGAAAATTAATAAAAATTATTTTAAAAATTAATAAAAAACAGAAATTAATAAAAAATTTATTACAAATTGGAATTTAATAAAAAAAATTTAATTTTTAAAAAATTATTAAAAATTGGAATTTAATATAAAGAAAAACATTAAAATCATATCATATATACTATATGCAAAGTAAATTTTTTGCTATAAGCTCTTTTATTCAATCTAGGTGACTAATCATCATAGTATATATCAAAAGCGAAGTGAATTTTAGCTTTAAAGACCTCTCATTCAATCTCAGCTTGGTTAATTATTATTTGTCCCTTACTAAAAGGTCATTAATATCCTTTAATTGGTTAAAATTAAGTTTTATTTATAATTAACTATACCAAATTTTGTTACCATTAAGTTAATATTGGATCTTTTGATGCTAAAAAATTGTATGGTTTTGTATATGAAAGTCCCAAGGCTCTCACTTTAGCCCTAATCTCCGATTAGTCAGAGCTTCTTCCTCAACCGGTGGTTTCTGTGTTTTGACGTTTGAGTTGTATTGCTTTATTAAAATCTTCGAATTAGGGTTTTTTTGTTTGTTTCAAAGCTTTGGGTCTGTGTTCATGATGAATGAGGAGGATTGAGTATTTAAGCTTTGCGATTAATTTCCATCGATATTGCTCTATAAGTCTATGACCGATCGGATCCCATACTGTTTATGCTCCTCCATCTCAACTTCGTTTCTGATTTTGGAATGTGTGTGGTTTATCCAAAAATAATTTTGCTTCGGACTTGAGATTCTGTTTAGATTTCATGTTTAAGGTTTAGTCATCGCAGTTAAATTTTGAGGAATCAAAGTAATGCTAATCATACTGATTTAGCATTGTGTATTGTGATGTCCAGTTATAGTGAAGAGTATATTCATAAGCATAAAATCATAGCAAAAAAAAAATATTCACAAGCATAAAAGAGACCATATTGAACGAGTTTATACTGTTCTCTCTATAAGCCAAGTCGAATTGATCGCTCTGCTTCTTCACTCTAATTATAGTAAAGGCTGAAGAAATCGTTGGAATAAAGATTTCAATGAGCCCGGGACTCTTGCCCCAACCAGACTTTCTTGGCCGTGCGAAATACATGGTTATTCAAGGTGAGCCATGATCATGCCCTAACCAGATCTTTTAATGCTATAAAATTGTATGGTTTTGTATATGAAAGTCCCCAAGGCTCTCACTTTAGCATTAATATCCGATTAGTCAGAGCTTCTTCCTCAACCGGTGGTTTCTGTGTTTTGACGTTTGGGTTGTATTGTTTTATTTAAATTTTTGAATTAGGGTTTTTTTTTGTTTCAAAGCTTTGGGTCTGTGTTCATGATGAATGAGGAGGATTGAGTATTTAAGCTTTGCGATTAATTTTCATCGATATTGCTCTATAAGTCTATGACCGATCAGATCCCATACTGTCTATGCTCCTCCATCTCAACTTCGTTTCTGCTTTTGGAATGTGTCTGGTTTATCCAAAAATAATTTTGCTTCGGACTTGAGATTCTGTTTGGATTGCATGTTTAATGTTTATTCATCTCAGTTAAATTTTGAGGAATCAAAGTGATGCTAATCATACTGATTTAGCATTGTGTATTGTGATGTCCAGTTATAGTGAAGAATATATTCACAAGCATAAAATCGTAGCAAAACAAAAAAAAAAATATTCACAAGCATAAAAGAGACCATATTGAACGAGTTTCTACTGTTCTCTCTATAAGTCAAGTCGAATTGATCGCTCTGCTTCTTCACTCTTATTATAGTAAAGGTGGAAGAAATCGTTGGAATAAAAATTTCGATGAGCCCGGGACTCCTGCCCCAACCAGACTTTCTTGGCTGTGCGAAATACATGGTTATTCAAGGTGAACCAGGATCATGCATAATGAAATATAAATAGGAAATTATTGATTAAATTTAAACAAAACTAGACCAATCAGGGTTTAAAAATTAATTTTTTCATGTTAAATCTTGTGGAATCGTTGAACAGAAAGTGTGATTTCACTAAAGACTGTTATTAGTAAAATCTTGCAATCATGCTAATTTAGGAATATTAGTAATGAGACTTTCAATGAGACTTGTGTTACAACATTTTTCTTATACGGATCAAGGTATTTATGTGGTTGATTTTACGATTCGATAATGGAATGTAGGAGGGTCTTGAAATGGACATTTGCATATGGATACTACCTTGCTCATCATGAACATGAAAAGACACAATTTTTTCGAGTATTTGCAAGGGGAAGCTCGAGCTTGTTTGGAGAGGCTTCATCATTGTGCAGAGATGTAGTTGGAACAGTTTGTCTCCAGAACTAATGAACCATCCAAAAGTTTCAATGATTTCGTTTGACTAAAGTAACCAAACCTACTTCGAAAAACACGTGAAAGCTTTGGAGAATGGTCTTGCTGATGTGGAACACAATGAGAGCACAAATCAACAACAGACTCTAGATCTTCTTTCAAATGACAAATGTTGACAAGGGTCTAAGAAAGATCCAAGTGGTAAGTGAGAGATCTTTCAGCTTCAGATCTATATTATTAGTGAAAAAAATCATATGGTTTATTGCAAGTGGTATTTTCCAAATTAAGGATACCAAGTATTCGGTTTACAATTCGGAGGGACATGTGAAAAATTGTAAGGTTATAGTATTGAGAAGCTATTGGTTAAGATAAATAAAGAATAGATTTTTTCCCTTAAAAAAACCTATAGCATCACTCCGCTAATTAAAATATTTTTACTTCTTTCAACGCCTTATAGAAAAAATAACCTCATTATGTAAATCTCAATAACAGAGTACATTGGTAAAGTTTCAAAAACCAGAAAATAGTCAAGATAATACCAGTAGGTACCTTACATAACGATCAAAGGGAAAGTGAGTAACTCCTATGAGAGAGTCATCTCATTAAGTATAATTGTTTAAGAATCTAATATTTTCTAAGAAAATAATTGGAAGAATATATGTCTCAAATAATAAATAATTCATTATGTGAAGATTATTCTTTCTACGAAATATAAGAAGTGAATAC